CTCACTGATGTGCTCACAGAGACAGCCACAAAAACAGACATGTTTGTTGCATTGCTGAAATCTTTTGCAAATCAATTAAACCTTGTGCATGAGAACAATGGTGGCCCAATCAAGCGATATTGATATTTGGAACTACTTTTTTTTTTGATTTAATTAAAATCTTATTTTACTTTGTAATGCTCTCGGGGAAAAAAGTGTGATTTATTTTGCAACACCCCTTATCTCTGAAATACTGAAAGCCAAAATACTGACCTTGAAAAGGAGGTGGGAACCAGGGAAAGTTAAGATGATACAAAAATATAGGTTACAAGGCAGTAAGGTAAAAATATAGACCACACTACAGATGTGATCAAGCAGAATCAGACTAGAATCTAGAACTATAAATATTCAAAGAACTGGACTGAAGGAAGAATGAGGGGTGCAAACCAGTCATATTTAAAGAATGGATCTTGGGACAAACAGAATGGAAACATTCCTCACAGCAGAAACATCTTTGCCCTGGAAACTCTTTACTTCATACAAAAAAAGAGGTCAGTCATGGAAATAATGTGTTTACCTGTGAAGCCAACAATTAGAGCACAGCTGGTACTCCTGTAGTGGAAGGTTCTTGGGGAAGTAACCCAGTCAAAAATTATGAGTGGAAAAATACTTCTGGGGCTTTGAGCCCCCTTCTCATCCATATCTGAAATGACTAGTGATTCAAAAAACTGGTCAAACCAGTGGGCACTCAAGATCGAGAAGCCAAAAACATTGCCAATTCAATTTAAAGGTGTAATACGTCATGATGGACAAGATGGATCAACTTCCCAAGCCAATTTGTTAGTATGGGTACAAACAATGTATTTTGAAACTATTTGAAAGATTACACTCATGCAATATAGCAAAGAACAGCAATGACTGGATATAAAAAAATGCTTGTTGGAATGCTGTCAACATGGGTGTTGAAACCCAAATTTTAGTGCTATAAGCCTGCAGACTCACATAAATGAAAAAAAAACATTTTTCAGGGAGTTATGCATGCATGTTACTCGTAATTGCATAATTTCAATACTTTGTTTACTGTAACTTGAGTTATGTGCTTGCAAAGTGATTTATAGCTCTGTTATTCAGGTTTAATTGTTAGACACAATCAAAATCAGTATAACAATAAAATTTTATTAAAACAAATATAAACTGTTACAAGCCTAATGCTGTCTGGAATAAATAAAATCTGCAGTCATTCTAAAAAGAAAAAAAGGATAATTTAGATTTATTTCATATTTTTTGTGGTGGTAACAAAGTTGCTCAAATGAAATGTGCCCATATATACTGTTATGGTAGAGAAAATAACAGATAAATATAGTTGATATTCATTTTGGAGGTTCTACAGGTTACACAAATGAAACCTGAAAAATTATAAGGTGAAACAAAGTATTTTTAATCTTAACATGAAATTCACATTGCACCCATACTACTCACAGTCTGAGTCTGATTCTGACTCCATAAATCTAATCTTTAGTAAAAAATACTTAACTTTAAAAAAGTTAACATTTTCCTAAACTGAAAATGTGATTTTGATAGATACTTAACTCCTCTCACAAAAACTTTCTTGACTTGTACTGCCCTCTATTAATTCAAATATTCACTCACCACTGACCTTGTTACTCCCACTTATTACTGCATACTAACATGCAAATGATCATGCAGCAACCTTCCACCAATAAGAGTGTGATACTACCCCTATCATAATTAGCACCCTTTCTAATCATGCACATGCTAATCACTCCGAGATAGCTAACCAAACACACACTTCACACCAGAAGTGGGGAGGATGAGTAGGAATTGTGAGAGGAGTTAAGTATCTATCACAAATACATTTTCAGTTTTGGAAAATGTTAACTTCTGATACAATATCTTACCACTTCTCACAAAAAGCTAGAATCCCACATTGAACTGATGGAGGGCCAGTGAGAAGATGAACCCCCTTTAGGAAGCACCCAAAGGAAGACCATGAAACATGATAAAGAATTAAAAACAACACACTAGTGGGAGA